TTTATGCCAGAGGCGGATTGTTTACAAATAAGCGAAATGTGAACGTACAACTTCACCGCGCTCTTGTTTGCTGACAAGCACCTTGACAACGAACGGCAGGTAGGATTTTAACATGACACCTGCTCGACAGAAGGTACTTAGGGCACAGTGAATGCGGTAAAATGATTTGCGGAAATCTCCTGGACATTACGAATACGACAAGAGAGTTGTTGTTGCGATACATTTCTTAAAAACAACTGATAACCCAGCTCGAAGGCTAACAGTAACCTGTACCGATACCTAAAGTAAATCGCAATGACCCGGGGATTTACTGCAGGGCAATTCATATTACAGACAACACATTTAAAAAGACCTGAGATTTTACACATTAGGGCTCTCAATAAATTTTTTGTCACTTACCAGGAGTCCTTCTGAAAGAGACAGTTAACTGTGACTTATAATCTCATTTTCGGGAAAGAAAAAAGTGTTAAATTTACGTAAAATTTGCTGTTAATTTTTAGACATGAAGTATAAAAATATAGTCAATGCATTTCGTTCTATTGCTGTCTGTGAATTATGTGCTTTATGGGGAAGGCATTGTTGGCTGAACCATAACCGCAAACAGTTTCAAGAAACGTCTGCAAGAGAAAATGAGCTGACAGTGCTATTAATGATCGGGTTTATTCGCAGATCATGTGAAGTGCGGATGTAAATGCGCGTGTAGGTTATAATGTGCCTCGTCGTACTAAGCGTGGGAACATTGGTTTGGGTAGGAAAATTCAAGCGGAATTTACAATTATCCGGTGCATCCTTGCTACAGCAATAATTAGGCAGCCATTCTGCCTTTGGCGAAAATGACATTAAACATCCGTAGGGGGTGGGTATTCGGTACAGAGGCTTTGTAAGTGTCCGATGGTTTCGCCAAACGGCCTCGGAGCTTGCGTACGCTAAACTCCGAAAATGTGCTGAGCTCATGAATGACTTCTTTTCATGTGAGTGCCAGTCAGTGTCAGCTCACGGGGTCAAATAAGCAGAGTACTGTTTTTACAGGCGCATGTGATTGGATGAACTAGAAGGCACTGTGCGCACATCCCATCTAATAAACGTGATTTCTAGGGTTGTGATGACCACAGGCCGATCACATATGACACACACTACTTTGTGCCTTCTAAATCGTAATTGAAAGCAAATATATGATATCTAAATGGCAATCCGAAATGGTGCAGAAAACTTCCACTGAGACATGCTAGCAACAGAAGGCCCGTCCCTTTCAATTCCGAGGAATAAGATCCCTGCCGTTTCCGTAGTATAAATTGTATAAACTCATGAGGAATATCCCTCTTCTGGCTTGCGGCTTCTAAAAATGCCTTCCGTCACGCACTGGCTGTCCTCCTTTCTGATCAACAAAAATTAACCACACTGCACGTCTTTACGTAGAAAGTGTTTGGACTGCGAACACGGTAACTTGTCAAAAAATGTACGCAGAATGGCCACCGTTTTAATATAAACTAGAATGAGCAATTGCATATGTTGGTTGGGGACGCAAAGAACTGTTAAACGGCATGCTTGAATCTCTTCGTCAGAGAAATGATTCCACGGACATCTAAATATTCGGAGGGGATGGGATAAATTCATGCAAAGTATCCTGATCCCATTTGCCAGTTAAGTAACTGACAATGTTGAATACGTTTTCGACATCAAAGAGCAACCTAGGCTTTTATTAACATATAAAAAAGTGAGAATGACCCCAGAATACTACATGCATTGCGTACGTTCTACTTGTTTGTGAAAAAAAGCCTGCAACTGCGCCCACTAGTAATTTAGAACACACATTCACCTAAACCCTTATTTTGATGTTATAGTGCAGTAAGGGTCGACCACCGCGTGAGCACTCGCT